AATCAGCTATAAACATCTCATGATAATTGGAACTTGGATTGCATGGACTATGAATACAGGAAAATTGAAATCATCAAAAATGAAGTGAACTGCATCAAGATTGATATCCTAGGCATTAGTAACCTGGAATGGACTGGCATTGGCCATTTTGAATCAGACAATGGTATGGTTTACTATGCCAGGAATAATGGATTCAAAAGGAAAAGTGTTGCATTCATTGTCAAAAAAGGACATTTCCAGATCGTTCTTGAAGTACAATGCCACCTGTGATAGGATAATCTCTATACCCACACAAGGAAATCCAGTCAACACAACTATCATTCCAATGTCAAACCAACCACTGAAGCCAGTGAGGAAGCGAGTAAAGAACCATCATCTTCAGTTTGAAATTGATCACACATGTGATCAAGATACATCGATAATTATTGTCGATTGGAATTCGAAAGTTGTAAACAAGGAGGAATGAATACATTTACTAAAACACATGAAATGGGCAAGAGACCATTGTTTTCAACAGATGGTGCTGCAAACACTGGATCTTCATGGGCAACAGAATGAAACAAGACTCACAACTCATGCCATGTACACAAACAAGCTCAAGAAGGATCCAAGACTGACATGTAAGCCACGCAATTATTAAGACCACCAATGAAAAATGGGACAAACTCAAGGACCCTAATACAAGGCATAAACACACTACTGAACATGATGAAAAATATCCACACTATAGAAGATAAAATAAAGAATTGGGGCCTACTGAAAATATGCATTCAGCATCATTGCATGTGTTTTATGAGTCTGAAGAAGACTACAGATTGGTATCAGACATATGGGCTACTATTGGATTTATAGACTTGATCTGGACTGGGCTGGGCTCTTTTCTCAATGTTCAATTGCTCTTGTATATAAACCTCTTTCTTATACACATATGTGTGTCCATGCATTTGTTTCTCTAGCCTACTCAGACTAACGCATGTAGTAAGCAGCCCAATGCAGACCCCACTCTGACCCCAAGGCGCCTTTGGACTTGCCAGTTTTTAGAAATCTAAAGAGAAAACTCCCCTATAAATAAATACCTCCAAAGATGGAGGTGAATGGTGCAAAGGTCAGCCAGTACTGCACATGAACATCGAAGTGTTTGCTTTATGTAAACAGGCAAAGGGTCTGTAAGTAATTGCTTCATTTCCACACACACACACACACAGCCTTTTCTTTTTACTTCCCCCTTCCTTACGATTCAAACATAATTCGAACAAGAAGCCTTAGCAACCATTCGGCGAGTCCGGTTCTGTCTCACCCATCTCTGCAGACCAGAGGCAGGGCTTGTCAACTGAGCGAGCCTTGATTGGTCCCCGAGTGAAAACACTGGACTCTCAGAGTGTCGGTGGGGCGGGGAACCAGGCGCTTTGCGCTTGCTTTCTGAAGGCAAAGCTCCAAGATGGAGCTACTCCCCCGAGTACTGAGGGAAGGAAGGTGACTGCGCGCGCGCGGCTGAAGGGAAGCGGCCTGACACCCTCCAAGCTCCCTTCCCAAACCGGACCCACTACAAGAGCCACCCCCTTGTTGGAATCCATCCCGGGCGAGAAACAAAAACAAGAACACGGGAAATACACATCTGTAAAACAGAAGTTTGTCAACCGCACGTTTTCACAAGCATGCCCGTGAACCTCCAGGATCCAGAGGGGGCCGACAGGTAATAGGTGCGCGCCCTGGATTCGGCCGACGCGGAAGGAAGCCTCGGGCTGGCTGGGACCTAAGGAACACCCCCGCCTCGGGCTGCAAAGAGCGCCTCCGCTCCACCCCCGGGCAGGATTGCCTCGGGCCCAGCTCCCGGCACCCAGCCAGGGATCTCCGCCCCGCAACCCCCCGCCCCGCCCCTCGGATCCGCGGGTGGGGCCGGGCGGCGCTTGGCCTCCTGCTGCGGGACCCTGGGGCGGGGGGAGCGCGGCGGGGGCGGAGCCGCGCCGGGGGGCGGACCCCAAACTTTCCCCGGTCTCAAAAGCAGGCTCGCGGCCACCGCGCAGCCCCGCCTCTGCCCTGCCCGGGCCGCACGTCCTGCTCGCCGAGCCCGCAGCCCGCCGCCCGGCCCAGGCCCGCGCCAGCGCCATGGCGAAGCCCCTGACCGACCAGGAAAAGCGCCGGCAGATCAGTATCCGCGGCATCGTGGGCGTGGAGAACGTGGCCGAGCTGAAGAAGGGCTTCAATCGGCACTTGCACTTCACGCTGGTCAAGGACCGCAATGTGGCCACCCCGCGCGACTACTTCTTCGCGCTGGCGCACACGGTGCGCGACCACCTGGTGGGGCGCTGGATCCGCACGCAGCAGTACTACTACGAAAAGTCCCCCAAGGTACTGGCCCCGGCGGGAGAGGGTCTCCTCATCTCTGGGGCGGACCCGGAGCCGGGGATGGGCCCGGGAGGGGGGGGCGGCGGCCGCCG